CACTGTAGGATAAGCACTCGACCATAAGTTTGGTTTGAACCTCAAGATTGGCCGTTCAAACCCACCAATTGCTCCTTGGAAACCCTAAACAGGGTTGCTATGAGTCAGAACCGACTCTATGGCACTTAACAGCAACAACATAGTTCCACAGAGTTTGGGGTTAAGATATGTCCATGAGATAGCATTGTTGCACAGCAAGCTATTTGCTGGAGACAGAACACTGTCTGTTGAAGTAGAAGACCTTCTGTGGGCAAGAGGCAGGGGGCTACCAGAAGTGGACGAAGGCAAGGAAATTCCTAAGGGAGAGGGGAAGACTAGAGAAGGTGGGCCTGTCCCTCAGCCACACAGTGGGGAGTCTATGAGTCAGATTTTCTCAGTATCTGACAAACTATATATTTTAATTGTTTATTCATTTGTTTCCCAATTGCCAAGGATTTTAGATAAAATCCTTGTCACATGACAATGCCCAAGAATAAATTTTTCAACAAAATGTAGCGCATATAACAAGACCTATTTTTGTGGTGGATCCTCAGATCTGCATCACAACTTAAGAAGAAAGATGAAAGGTTGTGCATCTTTTCAAAGCAAGAAGGCAGGCATCAACTGGACAGACGATGAAAAGAGAATCTACAGGGACAAAAGAATCACTCAAACTCAAGAAATGTTACAATTTCTACTCCCTATCGTGGAAAGCTCTAAAAACACGCAGACCACCCAAATAAACCAGATGCTCACCCCAAGAGCCAACTTCCAGATCCAACAGCAGTAAGTCAATGCAATTTTGTCATTCTTGGATGCTTAATGTATTATTTTGTAAGGAAGCAAGGCTTACTAATTCATTATCCTAGAAAACAAGCAGACTCTTGAAAATGGCAGATATACCACATTTGACAGGTGACAAAGACATAAAGCCATAAGTAAACGCTGATAGACGAGTTGTTTTCATGAAGCTACTTATGAAGCTGGAGTCTGATGTAGTGCTGTAGGATCAGCACTAGACTGTGAACCACAAGGTCGATAGTTTAAACCCACCAGCTTCTCCTCAGAAACCCTATACAGGGCTGCTATGAATTGGAATCAACTCAATGGCACTTAACAGCCACAACAACATGCACACACACACACACATGAGACATCTTCAAAAAGTCATTAGCTGCTATGGAGCTGACTGACTCCTGGTGACCGCATGTCTATCAAAATGAAGCCTTGCCTGGGCGTGACCCCTCTTTGTAGTCATCGGGGTGTGTATGTGTGTGTGTGTGTGTGTGTGTGTG